GGACAATGCGACATGTGTAGCCGTGTATCTAAGTATCTCAGTATCCTTGCCATCGAGCTCCCGATTGTCTTCCACGCTGCCAGCCAGACAATGCAGATTAGCCCCAAAAGGAGTCCTTCCGCCCACCCACTCGAGACCTTCTCGTGAGAGACAAAAGCACTCAGCTGGGATTTTAATGAATAACAACATGAATGAGTGCGGACTGGGTCGTCGGAGGTTCGACGGCATATCCACAGCACAATCCACATCAATTACATTGCGGTTAGCTGCCATTGCCAGGGACACGCACACAGTCGTAGTCGCAGTCACATTCACAAACACAATCACAATCGAAATCGAGTGCCAGGAGCACGTTCGCATATGAATATGAAATGCAGGAGCACATGGCTTCGGCCATATCGATGAAAATCAATTCCACTGGCATTTGGGAATCTCTCAATTGGTCGCAAGCAGCTGAAAAAGTTCGGAAGTTGTGCCCAGTGTTTGTGGCACTGAATTGTCAATATCAGTTGAGCTCAAGTTGATTTTGCTCCATTATCTGTGCAATTTGGAACACGAATCGACGACGGCTGCAACTGTCGTTTTGGGTTCCAAAATACCTTTTTGACCTCTTCGCCTGCGGCTTATTGGGCAAATTAGTTTTGCCTGATTGCAAATTGTGCAAGGAGGCAGTGCCTGCCACTCAACTGCTGCCACTGCTCCTTGTGACTGGACGTAAATTCAATGTTATATATGCTATACACAGCTCGTTGATAAATTTTAAACCACACCCACATGGACATATGAGGCAACCAACCAACCATCACCCTGCTGATTTATGTTTATGGGCTTGGAAAATATTTGCGCCACTTCAAAAGCATTATGATGATTATTAGCATTGTTTGCCATCGTAGTAAAACTGTCATACGTGTCTGGCTGGCTGTTGGCCCAACATTTGCAGTTCAACAATATAGGAAAAAGTTGAAAAGAGCAGCGCCAAGTGGAGCTTCGACTGGAGCCAAAGCTGTAAATGTAGCTATAACGGACAAACGTGAAACGTGACCGACGTGATGTTTATGCGAAAACATTTCCCCCATCATCTGAATAAGTGCTATTGCGACTGCGAGTGTGAGCACTGGCATTAGCATCCGACATCGGGTTATATACTCCCAGTTGGAGCCCCATCCCCACAAGTATGCACATCATCAGCGAACTCCGCTTGCCCCAAAAGCGAGAGTCGACTAATCGGCAAAGTAAGGCGCAACTTTGGGAATGCCACCCGTTTAAAGTAAGCCGGAATTGAACACCGCAGCCTGGTATGGCCTGTTGAACGGATCCCAGGTCCCCAGGAAATTTGTGCTGAAAAATGCAGACACTGAAAAAAATACAGTCGTCCGAATCTCAGAGCTGCAACATCCAAATGAACGTTTATTCAAAACGATTAACAAATAATGTTGCCTACTTTTAGGTACGTAAAATTGAGTTCCAAGCGCAGGACTTTAAGTGAGAATTATAAATTATGAGCAAACCTTTTTAATCTTTTAGGTTTTTGCTGGCTGCTAGTAAACAGCTTCGAAAACTTTTATTTTAAAAGTTGGCAAGCGTTGTATTAGGCTTTTTCCGAGTGCCCATACTCGTACGTATACCAGCGGCAATGTCTGGATTGGGAGCCCAAAAGACAAGTGTGTGACAATGCCATGGCTCCAGTTCGAGCCCCAAAGCAGAAATGGCTCTCAAACTTTGTGCCCCCCCCCAAAACGGGGAGTTCTTGGGAGAACTTGCCTCGCATATGGCTGCACCTACAAGGACAACGAAAACGACACGACGCAGGACACCAGGAATCGCACCCTTGCTGCTGCCGCCGTCGCCATTTTTAGTGTAAATATTTAAACAATAATAAGTTGGCGGAAAAACGTGGGGAAACTCTTACGCTGCCAACGCGGCAAAGTGAGGCAGCAACTTTTGTTATCTTTTCACCATGAAAATAGCACGAAATTGAACAGGAAAACGCCGAGTCGCGGAGTCAGGTGAGAAGTGCTGGTGGTGGCCAGGTGGCCAGGTGGGCGGATGTGCGGATGGGGAGGAAGGTGACAGCTGGCATGGGAGACTACACATCGATAGACAGACAGCCGGGTTGAAAGCAGAAAGCTGAAAGCGTTGCACGTGCACTAATCATCACGGATGGCGGTGTGCACGGGGAATTCGGCTGGTGTATCGCCTTTCATGTTTTCAATTAGCGTTAATGTCAGTGCGGCGCCCAAAGAGCTGGAACGGGTACCGAATACTATAGCAGCTCCATTGGCCAATGTTTGCGTTTTGACAATACAGCCGGCCCATTCCGAATAAAGGCTTGTCAGTGGCCGCCCAGACAAAGGGATATTGTATCAGCAAACCGCAGAAGGTATATCTATGCTGCCTTAAAGTTTGTGGAAACTGGGTAAGAATTATAAATTTATTTCGCATTTTTATTGCGAAAATAAAGCGTGCTGTTCGAGACGTTTGAAATAGCAGTTTTGAGCACTTGCGACTGCGACTCGAGTAACTACAAGTGGAAATTAATTTCCGACAGGCTCAATCCATCATTTATGCTCCCCACAAAGCCAACTTCTTTATGCATACCATAACTGCTCTATAAATATGATCAGCGAACGACTTGCCTTTGCCCCGAAAATGTCATTTGCATAACCGTCAATCATACGCCACGTATGCCGGCGCTTGCTGTTCCACCTTGTTTGTTTCTGCCCCACTGGGTGTGGCACAACCATAGCGCCGCCATCGGGAAATCACACCACAGATCCCTAACCCAGCATATGTTCGATGGCACTGAAAATTTTGCTTCTCGATTTGCGTTTGCGTTTTATTTCGAAATTGAATTTCAGCACTGATTATACTTTTTCTACCTTCTTTGCCGAGCGGCGGAGGCACACATCGAATATGGGAATATGGGAATGTGCGATGTGGGGGAGTCCTCTGGATACGGCGACTTCCGATGGGGTTGCATTGGCATTGATTGGGTGCGGGGGCCCCCTGTTGTTTGCCGGGGGTGCATAAATAAGCACCACTCAATTATGCAGACCGTGGGCGAAGCAGCCATAATCCTTTATCCTTTCTACCTGCGACGTGTCGATTTGATTTGCTTTGCAATTTATTTTTGAATAGCGCTGACAAGGACACACACCGTGCTTATGGTATTTATTATATAATGTTTGCTTTGACAAAAACGCTGCATAAACTTTTCGTAGCGGTGCGTTAATAAAAACATCCAATCCAATGTAATTTCGAATCGAACACATACAAGTATTTGCCTGAGCACTTCGAGTGCTTTGGCTTTAATTTCAAAAGGTTATTTATTGGAGAATTTCCATTTGCTGTAAATCGAGTCGGCAATTAGCTGCTTGATAGGGATATTAGGGTTTTTTTGTTCTTGGTTTCATGCGACGTCATTAGCTAGAATTTAAAACCTTTTTTGCCGCTGGAAAAAGTTTGGGTCAATGCAAATATTTCATTTGAAGTGACATAGCGTTGGAAATTTGTCTGAATTCTCAGCCCCAACTGAGGAAATTTAAATGTGGCCCATTACATTTTATATTGCCATTTGCCTTTGAGGTTTTGTGTGTTACATTTAATTGCGAATTTCTGTTGGAAAAGCGCCACTTTACCCTTCGTCCATCGTGCAATGTCCTTGCCCCTCCACTACCACTTTGCCATCTCGATTTTCTTCCTACATTTCACTTCGGTTTACTTTTTCGCTTGTACGGCTTCAAATGTTCAACTCATTAAAAAGTGAAACAAAAATGGGTTCAATGTTCAATGGGCGGGCACTGCACCAATTTCCCAGCTATAATTGGCTTTAAATACGAAAACTCGAATATGCGGAAATACGGAAATATGCAAAGGGACAGTTGCGTGTAGTGCGGCGTACTCCCAATGGTTTGATAAATGTTTAATCACCTGACCACAAAAATTGATTGACATTTGATTTAACTGTTTGATATGCTCGACTGTTGACATTGCGACAGGCCAATTATATGTATTAATTACATTTTTACTGTTGCCCGTTGGATGCAGAAATTAATTTAAATTAAGTCGGCAGTGAAATAAGTGACTTGAAGTGTAATTAAAAAACTTCATAAAATTGTTTCCTTCGGGCGGAAAATGAGTGCTGGACTTCTCTCACAACAAAGTGCAAGCGATTGATTGTGCTGATCGCATTGATGACGCTTGAAGTGCGTATAGCGAAAGGAAAATGTCCTTGGCCACGCAAGTTGATGGAAAAGTGTCAGCAACAGTTGGGGGCGCTTTTCGGAAATGAAAACATAAACGCTTGCACTGCGAATCAAATTAAAATTCCATGTGTATATATACATATAAACGCTTATGCAATAATATATACGAGTCTATATGGGACGGCATTGTACTTCGGCTGGCATAATTTCAATTAAGTTGGCAATTGTTGGCCAAGTTGTTGGCCGCCGCCAGATCTGCTCCTCATATCGGGAATCAGCATATTTGCTGGACGCGGCTTTAACCGCCTGGCCGCACATAATTAGTGTCATTGGCAGCGATCCCGGCCAGCAATGTGGGCCAGCGAATGCAGCCGGGTGGTTTGAGGTAATTTCGAGGCCCGCGGCAAAGACAATTGCACTTTTGATAAATTGCGGCCTGGCGGCAACAGCTGCTGATCTTATTACCGATGTCGTTAATGAAATATTTCCCAGGACACGCGCGCGTGTGTGTGTGTGTCAGCCGAGGTATTAATGCGAAATATTGCGTATACGCACAGTTAACAGCTGAATTGTGTCAAGGCTGAATGCGCGTGGTAAACAGAAGTGACAAAAAATGCATTAAAATGCAGTAAATGCTCTATTGTAGTGCGTGCAGAGTAAACTAGTAGTACTAGGCCTTTAAACAATGCATAACGGCCAGTGAATAAAATCAGTGTAATATTTATGCATTTGTTTACCCAACTTAAATGCATATGATATAATTAAATTACCACAGTACAAATGTAGGGATTTTCATTTCCAATTTTATAGTGTATTCGCTTTATTTGACATGCAACTAAATTTATTGAATTAAACGAGCATTGTTAGTTTGTCGTCGCCTAAGTAAGCAGCAACTTTTTTGTGCGGCTTGAGGTTCGCCATTTTCCTCTACCAGCAGCAGAAAACTACTGCTTGCCTCGCTTCTATTTTCCGCTTTCCACTCTGGGTTTCCCGGATTTTCCGGATTTTTCCGAATTTTTTCTCTGCGCCCAATGCATTGGCAATAAATCGAGACGGTCGTTCACATTGAGTTGGGCGGCTTGGGCGCTGGGTGGTTGGTTAACCCAAATGGCAACAAATTAGAGCTCGAAATGTTTTCAGCGTTGTTCTAATTCTTCGCCTCGCTGCCGGTTGAAAAATCGAAATCACTCTCGCTGCCGCCCCCACCGACTGGGGGCGTGGCAGGACTGGAGGCGGCGGGTCCTGGATTTGCGGCCTGGGTCGGTTTCGCGCTTGAGCTATCATCCGTTTCGCTGCTGTCAACGAAATTAACGCGCTTCTTCTTTTTTAGCTGCTGCTGCTGCGCATCATTAGGCGCCGCTTGTTTGTCTGTCGTCGAGAGTATCGATGTGGGTTTGAGTGGCTTGCTGGTGGCCAGTGGTGCCGGTGGCTCCGCCGGCGCGGCTGGACTCTCCTCCACCTCCGGCGTGGCTTCTGCTTCTGGATAGACTTCCTGCTGCTGCTGCTGCATCTGTTGCTCCTGTGCTGGCAACTCCTGTTGCTCCTGCTGCTGCTGCTGCTGCTGCTGTTGTTCCGGTTGCTGTTCGTAGGCGCTGTAGTCGTAGTCCTGCACCGCACTGGCATCGTACTCCTGGCCAGCGTAGCTACCATCTGCTGCGTACTGGGTGGCATTGGGATCGGCTACGTACTGGCCCGTCGCCTCGTCGTATATATAGCCCGGATAGGCATTGGGATCATAGCCGGCCGCATATTGATCGGCCTCGTAGTTGCCATAATCAATATTGGAGTACTCCTGCGGCAGTAGCTCGCCACCACCGGTGGCATCTAGCGCAGCTGCTGCACCTTCGACTGCCACTGCTGCGGGCACATCTGCAGCAACTGCCCCTGCATCCGCTGCGTACGACTGATGCTGATAGTCTGCGGGATTTCCGATTTCGCTGTAAAGCGGCTCCACTTTTGCGCTTTGCAGGGGCTGCAGGTTTGCGGATTCGATGCTGGCATAGATGGGCTCACTGGCATCGCCATAACTGCTGGCATCGTATTGCCCGTACCCGGACAACTCCGGCTCCACGTGCTGTGGCAACTGCTGCTGTTGTGGCTCCACCTCCTGAAGTTCCTCTGGCGTTGGGTTGGCTGCCAAATTGTCCAAAAATCCCTTCGTTGGTGCGGCGGCCAACGCCTCACCTGCTGTGGCAGCCACTGCTGCCGCTGGTACTCCTGCTCCTGCTCCTGCTGCTCCTGTCAACCGTTCGCCGTAAATGGCATTTTCAATATTCTCAATCGACACACCGGTTTTGGGCTCCTGACTGCTTGGCGGCGACAATTGATTACCCCTTGCCAGCTGCTCATCAACCGCAGCCGCTGCTCTTTCGAGTGCCGCCCGACTGGCTTTGACTTCGTCCAGCAAATCGTTGCTGATGCCAACTTTGCCACTAACCGCTGATCCTGCACCCGCTCCCATTCCAGATCCAGATCCTAATCCCGACTCGCTGGAACGCACGTTCAAGGGGCGTTTGTCTTCGTGGGCGCTGGATGTGCATGTCGTTGTGGGTTGGCCATTCTGCCAGGACGACTCATCGATTTTCAGCTCGCCAAAGTATGCTTCGAAGTCGTGGGAAGGCTGATGTTGCTGCTCCTGATGTTGCTGCTCCTGATGTGGCTCCTGGCGTGGTATCTGTTGTTGCTGATGGCGCTGCACCGGCTCATTATGGCCAACGACAGTTGGTGATTTTTCATACTCCACTTTAGTCACGCGTGAATTTGTCCAGCCACCCAGGTCGCCGGCTTCCCTTTGCGGTTGCCCGCCCACATCCTGGCCAGAAGTTGCCACTCCGGCAGTCGGCAGCTCAGTTAACGTCAGCGAAGGCGACGATGTCTTTGGCAATTTATCAAATGTCAACGAGGATGTGGCCAGCGTGGAGGAAGTGCTGCTCAGTTGCCGCGCACCCTTCTCCTGGCTGGACAAAGTCGATGTGGGTGTTGCAGGACCTGCTGCTCCTGCTGCTGCTGCTGCTGCTGCTGCTGTGGAATGGGTCCTGCCGCCCAGCTCCGCCTGATAATCACCTGTCAAGTGGGGCTGCATGCGCTCCGGTAAATCGGCATTCTCATTATCAAAGGCGCGCAGGGTGGCGCGCAAATCGAACAGGTTCGAGGTGCCGAGGGGAGCTGCAGTTCCGCCAAAGAGCTCTGGATAGTAAACAGGATGGCCAGCCGGCATGGGCGGACCTGCAGGAACTGCTGGACTGGCTGCGGCAAACTGGGGCGTCAACAGCATGCCCGCCTGCGTGGGCGTGGCCATGGCAAACGTCCAGTTCTGTGGCGTCGACTGCGGATTGGTCACCGTCACCTGCGGCTGCGGTTGCACCAGCACAGGTATCACTCCGCCGGCGGATGGAGCCGTCGATGTCGTCGTCTGTTGGATGCAACGCAATGTTTGATTCTGCACCAATTTGGCAAAGTACATTTGGTATTGCAGCTGTTCAAAGCGGGAAAAGAAAGATGAAGATAGAGGCTTCGCGTGATGCACACGGAAAAATGTTGAAAGATACAAATGATGCAAACGAAAATACAAGTAGTTTTTGTTTTCAGCTTTACACTTTTAAGTGCATAATTTAAATACTTGAACAGTGGCTATGCTTTCCAAACACATTTCGGATATCTTGAATTTTCTTTTGCAACATTTTCTGCATTTCCCAAGTGTGATTGACTTTACATTTCCGCCGGCTGGCCAGTGGACTTACCTTCATCATTTTAAGCCGCTCGCTCCGCTGCGACATGGCAGCCGTTTGCTCGTCGATGCGCTCCAGCATGTGGACCAGTTTCTTGTTGCGCTCGTTGCGCTTGGCCTGCTCCTCCAGGAAGTCCTGGTACTTTTGGCGGCTCTTGTGGCGCACCGATTTGTCGCTGGAGAGCAAACACATATCCGTTTACCTTTTTGGGGCACATGACAAAAGCTACTTACAGCTCACTGCGCTTCTGCAAGATTTTATCCAACTTGTGCTCCAGCTGCTGGCGATTATCCTCGCTGCACGAAAGGAAATCGAGAAGAAAGTCGGGTCAAAGGACATGAATATCATTGGTAAGCTGCTGCACATGCACACGAAAAGCTTGGCAAAAGCTGACAAACACAAATCAATGGCCATGACTTTTATGCCAAAGGGCATTTCAAAATATTCCACCGAAAGGGTATTATCGTAGGGCACTCCAAACGTTTTTCAGCTATGATACAATAAATAATCTTTGCTAACTTTACATTTAAGTAACATTTAAGTTCCGATTAAGATAAGTTGAGTTGTGGACTTTAGAACTTTAGACTTCAGCCTTGACACATTTTTGAATTTAAAAATCATAGCATCAGAAAAATTACAAAAAAAAAAACAAATTTCCAAATTTGAATGCAGTTTTTAGAGAATTGCGCCAGAAACATTTAGAGGTATGCCACTTGAAAATCCGATAAAGATAAGTTGAGTTATGGAGTTTCGAACTTCAGGTTTGGGACATTTTTTAATTTTTTGGATTTTCTACAACATTATATATAAGAAAAATGACAAAAAAATTAAAAAAAAATAAATTTCCAAATTTGAATGCAGTTTTTTAGGGAATTGCTCCAGAAACATTTAGAGGTATGCCACTTGAAAATCCGATGAAGATAAGTTGAGTTATGGAGTTTCGAACTTCCGCTTTGGCACATTTTTGAATTTGTACAACATCATAACATCAGAAAAATGACAAAAAAATTTTGGAAAAATAAATTTCCAAATTTGAATGCAGTTTTTTAGAGAATTGCTCCAGAAACATTTAGAGGTATGCCACTTCAAGATCCGATGAAGATAAGTTGAGTTATGGACTTTAGAACTTCCGCCTTGGCACATTTTTGAATTTGTACAACATCATAACATCAGAAAAATGACAAAAAAATTTTGGAAAAATAAATTTCTAATTTTGAATGCAGTTTTTTAGAGAATTGCGCCAGAAACATTTAGAGGTATGCCACTTGAAAATCCGATGAAGATAAGTTGAGTTATGGACTTTAGAACTTCAGCCTTGGCACATTTTTGAATTTGTACAACATCAGAAAAATGACAAAAAAATTTAAAAAAAATAAATTTCCAAATTTGAATGCAGTTTTTTAGGGAATTGCTCCAGAAACATTTAGAGGTATGCCACTTGAAAATCCGATGAAGATAAGTTGAGTTATGGAGTTTCGAACTTCCGCTTTGGCACATTTTTGAATTTGTAGCATCAGAAAAATGACAAAAAAATTTTGGAAAAATAAATTTCCAAATTTGAATGCAGTTTTTTAGAGAATTGCTCCAGAAACATTTAGAGGTATGCCACTTCAAGATCCGATGAAGATAAGTTGAGTTATGGACTTTCGAACTTCAGCCTTGGCACATTTTTGACTTTCTACAACATCATAACATCAGAAAAATGACAAAAAAAATTTGGAAAAATAAATTTCCAAATTTGAATGCAGTTTTTTAGAGAATTGCGCCAGAAACATTTAGAGGTATGCCACTTCAAGATCCGATGAAGATAAGTTGAGTTATGGACTTTAGAACTTCCGCCTTGGCACATTTTTGAATTTGTACAACATCATAACATCAGAAAAATGACAAAAAAATTTTGGAAAAATAAATTTCTAATTTTGAATGCAGTTTTTTAGAGAATTGCGCCAGAAACATTTAGAGGTATGCCACTTGAAAATCCGATGAAGATAAGATGAGTTATGGACTTTAGAACTTCAGCCTTGGCACATTTTTGAATTTGTACAACATCAGAAAAATGACAAAAAAATTAAAAAAAAATAAATTTCCAAATTTGAATGCAGTTTTTTAGGGAATTGCTCCAGAAACATTTAGAGGTATGCCACTTGAAAATCCGATGAAGATAAGTTGAGTTATGGAGTTCAGAACTTCAGCCTTGGAACATTTTTTAATTGTTTTCAATTTCTACATCATAACGTTTCCTTCTTTTCACACTTTTTAACGAATCTAGTAAACCCTTTTAGTCTACGAGTAACCGGAATAATTACATTTATTTGTAATAATTGCATAATGAATAAATAATATAACCAACGAATAATAAAGAACATCATTTTTTTGTTAGACCTCTGGATGTTAGCTAGGCTTAAGAGTGAAATAATGGCCTAAAAATAATGAATAGCCCATTATTGATGCCATACCCATGTGTTGGTCATATTCATTTGGTTCTTCATTTTGGTTATATTCCTGATCTGCTCACCTGCGCTGCAGTTTCTCCTGCAGCAGCTCCACCTGCAGCTTGTAGTTCTCGAGTTCGGCTTGGGGAAACATGGCTTGGAACGGAGTATCCTCGGAGTATCCTCGCGACCGGAGTATCCTTGCGACTGGCCGTAAACGCTGCGAACCTTGCCACTTGGCGGCTCTTACTCAACTGGCCATATGCAGAACTACCACTCGCTATTGACACAGTTTGCTTGCCACGGGTATATTAATGCGACAGTGTGTTCTATTTTTGAGGCAAGTTTATTCGAATAGCCGCATTAAATACGAGTTTGTATGGGTGGATTGCATTTGTTTTGTTGAGTCGCGTTGTCATGGCTGCCCGGTTTCTTGGCCCTTCGTGGTGCTGGTGCTGCTTCCTTTGCGTATTTATTTTGGTGGTTGCTTGGCATTGGCCAGGGACACTTGGCCCCTATCGATTTCCCTCGTCGACTTCGTCGGCTTTCCCAACGTGCCACGCATTGAGGAACTCGGCGGCAACTAACTTTCGATTTTTCGCCTCATGAATTTTACACTCCGCTGTTGTTGGTTTCTTGTTTTTTTTTTTTATGCTTTCCCTGGCCCGGCCTGTGTGGTATACTAATTACACGGCCGGCAAGTAGGTCACTTCTTTCTGAACTCCGTCCAGTTTTCGTGTTCTTGGCCAAAAAACGTGGAGGGTCGTCTGGGGTCACAGGAGGACCCGGCGGAGCCATTTATAATGCATTGCACGGGATTTGCCTGCACGAGTGGGCCCAGCTTCTTCCATTCCTGTTCTGATGAGTGTAAACACATGTTGTTGTCGCACACTCGCACCCCCAGTTACACTGGCGAAAATCACTGGTCATTTGTGGTAAAAAGTGGTTGTCAAAATAACGCATTCTATTATGCATACAAATAACTCTACAAAATTGTTACCTAATTAGACCTCATTTATGATAGCACTTCTTAAAACATTTACAACACTGTACACTTAGAAAAAAGTATTGCTTATTACTAGAATATCAGGTGTGAATTGCTGAGTAAGGTTATATTATATTTAAACGTTTATTTAAAGGTTTTCCGGTAATTTACATCGCTAGCTAGATTGTGGGCACCTATTTTAACCGGTTTTTTTCAGTGCCGCCGTTACCACTTGTGCTCGTCCAAGCGTGTGGCACCTGAATGTGAATTAATGGCAGTGGCGTCTATCACTCCCCCGGCCGCAGACAACAGCGCAGGACCTCCCTCACACGCTGACATATTCGCACGCTCACCACGGTGTCCTGCCTGTCCTGCATGTCCTGTGTGTCCTGTGCGTCCTGTGTGTCCCGTATGTCCGCCTGCCATCATCAGCCTGCCCAGCGTCAGCAGTGACCACTCCCGTGCTCCAGCTCCTGCCAGCGACACCAAAGCCGCAGCAACTCCGTGTCCTGCTTGACTTGCTCCTGGCTTTGGCTTTCGCTTTGGCGTTGCCGTTGCCGTTGCCGTTGTCGTGGCTTCGCTCGTCCTGGCTCGGCTCCTCTCCATGTGGCACATGTATAGTATATGCCGTGGTTGCGGGCAGCAATATAAAATTTTGGTTATTTACATGGGGGGGATAACAAACGGCCGGGTTGGGGTCCTGTCATATGTGCGGCAGGTTATCTCCGCGGTTCCTGATGGCTCAGGGGGCAGGAGCAGGAGCTGCAAGGATCAGGGGCGCTGTTTAAAAGGGGGTATGCCATAGCAGCTTGCATTTTCTAGCTAGCTTAGGATGCTCTGAACTGAGTAATGCGCCTATGGATATTTTTAGCATTATCAGATATTGCACTTGGGAAAAAGCCCCTTTAGTCGCCTTCCTTGACCTTCGCAAAATAAACTGGTTGCCAAGCGACCTGAACCACGGACAATTTCTTCCATGTCGCTACCAATTCGGTTAACTGAAATACGCGTCATTCTTCAAGCGTTGCCCAAAAATACTCAAAGTGCATATATGGGTAGCGAAAATAAAGCAATAAACTCTTTTTGGAGCACAGTCCTGGAGATACTCTCGCTTAAAATTAAACACAAGAACGCAGTATCTAATAAACTTAGGTAGAGAAATACACCTGTTCCTGGAAAATATCGACAAAATGACAGTTTAGACAACTGTGACATACTCGGATGTCTGGCGAACTTGAGAGGCCAAAAAGTATTTACATATTTATTATTTAGCCGGAACAATTTGCGACAGGACCTTGAAGTTATTAATATCCTGGCAGCTTGGCGTGGCCTGGCACCCAAGTATTTTTTTTGATTGGATATTGGCTGAGTGCGCACAAGGATATCAATGAAAAGTTTGTCATAATCGAGCATTTGCATTGGAAATGGGCCACGGAGCTGGAGGGTGAAACCTAAATCGAAATTGAACATTTTTCGCTGCTGGAAAATTTTGCTTGTGGCGAACTCGGGCGATTTATGTGTTTGACTTTACGCTGCAATTGTGCCAAAATGTGTATGTGAGTGCTTATCAGGCGCTGCACAGAGCACTTTTTTTGGGGGCACTTAATTTTGGCTGGCATCCTTAACATCCTTAACGGTCCTGAAACGGCGGCAATGCGCGACCCGAGAGCTTCTTTTGCCGATTTGCAGTCAATGAAGTAGAAAACTGAAAACTTTTTCTTCTCCAGTCTATTAAAAATAATGGCAGCTGAAAGCAGAGGCGACCGCCAAGTGCGAACTGCTTCTGCCCCCCATGTGTGCGCTTCTGCCCTGCTTCCCTCTCTCTCTGCTCGCCGCGCGCCGTCTCTTTCTCATTCTCTATCTCAGCGTGTGTGTGCGAGACATCGGCGGGCATTAAATTAATGTCCACCCTGCCATTTTTCACCAAGGCCTGGTCGCCAGACACGCCGCCCGGTGCATTGACCACTTTCGGCGGTTTGCCTTTAAAGCGCTCTATGAAGCTCGCAGAGGATCAGGCTGCTTGGTACCCATTCCATGCGCTGTGTTTAGGATTTTGCTCATACTTACTGAAATGGAGCATATCTATTGAGATTTTACGTTTCTACATTCTGGCTTTTTGATGAGTAAGGACACTCGTGCAGACCCAGGGTAATCGAAGGGTCACACCATACCCTGTAATGCCAAAGAGGTCCATGTACTTATGGTATTTTTAAGCCCTGTCGCTGCGGGCATGCTGGGAAATCGGTCGTAAAAACAGAGTCGAACGGCGTGCAGGTTCTTGCGGTTAATGCGATAATTTAATTGTAATGCGGGCCTGGAGTCCTGTGCGCCAATAATTTAACTTGCAATCAGCGCGGCATTTATTGGGTTAAACATATAAGCCAAGCGAGGAAGGCGATGGGCGAAGACGCATACTTGCATGCCCAAGGAGTGAATGAACCCCAAGGATACGCGGCCCCAGTTACAGATACAACCACACGGATACACAGCTACACAGATACAGATACGCAGCGAAAGGGAAAAATGAAGCAGCCAGAGGATGGCAAATAAATTCAACGATTTCTGTCCTGCGTGCAATAAGGGGTCTGACGCAGTCAGTTGGGCATTTTCGCACGTAAGCCACGAGGACGATGACAGCAATGAAATATGCAAGCCAGGTCCCGAACTCAAGCATTTTTCCAAGAAGAAGGAGGCGTACATGAGTCACCAGTTGAAAGCGGGCTGGGTGAGGGTGGTGGTGGAAAATCCGAGTTCATGCTGAAAGCCAAACATTTATAAACTTCCACAGCCTAGCAACTGTTGCTGGGGGCGGGGAAGCTCCAGGGATTGGCTTCCAAAAACCCATTGTCTCGCTGGGCAACACATTTCGGTATTAGTTGCCATGTCGCAAGGACACTCGGCGGCGCAACTGCTGGAGCTGCGACGCATCCTGCTGCTGAGCGTCTATAGGAACACATTGAATCAGCTGGTACTGCAGCAGCGTTCCCAGCGCTTAAATGCCAGGAAACCGCTTTCGTTGCCCGCTTCTCTGCGAAGGCGACGCAGTTCGTCGATGGCGGAGCAGGAGAGGCCGGATCGCGTGCTCATAACGGGCAAGGTGCTGCCCCGACTGGAATCCCTGCTGGGTGAGCAGGAGAACGATGCGGATCTGCTTGATGAAGAGGTCTTAGATGCGCTGAAATTCGAGAGGGATATGGATGCCCTGCGAGCGATTTTCGAAGTAGCCATGAATGATCCGGAATTGGCAGAGAAAGATTATGCGCAGGATAAGGATCTAGAAGCAGAGGAGGAGAAGGAAACGGATCTAGAAGCTGAAGATGCTGCTCCGGAAATGAAAATTATGTGCCTGCAAATTAATGAACAGCAGAGAGCCTTTGATGTTAAGAAGGATGCATTTAAGGGAGAGAACATCGAGTCCTTCGATGACAAGGACATGCCAGGCCTTGAGATAAAAGTGATGGAAACTCCTTGTCCCGAGGATGAGGGTCTGGAAAACATAAAGCAAGCGATTGCCGCCTTGTGCGGCAACAAAAGTGAGGAGTCCCAGGCTGCCCAGCAGCTGCAGGAGGCCAAGGAGGAGCTGAAAAAACTCAGGGTGGACCTCGAACGCGAAAAGTGCGCCACCAAGGACAAGCTCCAGGACCTGGAGGAGCGCATTGCCGACACCAAGTACAAGCTGCGCTGCGTTTCAAGGGTCAATGACCTCGAGTACAGCTTGGTGCAGCGCTGGGAGGAGGGTCGTCTGGCCCAAGGAACCATTTGGGGCGAGAACGCCGAGCGGGCCTACCTACGCGATATTCTGGATATCAAACAGAAGCTGGCACGTGAGGAGCGTGTAAGTGCTGAGCTACGCACCTTTCGCCAGCGCGAGATCCGGGAGCTGCAGGCCAGGATCAAGCAGTGGCAGGAGCGGTATGTCAGCGAGATGCGACGCGTGGATCGCGAGGCTGAAGCTTGGGAGCTGCGCATCCTCGAGCAGCAGAAGCTCTTGCAGAGGCACCAAGAGATCTACGAGCAGCGGTTGACCTATGTGCAGGAGTACCGCGCCCAAAAGGCGGAGGAGCAGCGGCTCCTCGACCTGCAGATGCACCGCATTGAGTGCGCCGTCAGGTTGCAGGCCTGGTGGCGTGGCACCATGGTGCGGCGCGGTCTGGGACCCTTTAAGAAGAAACCCAAGCGCGGCAGGCGGGGCAAGCCCAAGAAATAGGACACCGAAAACGCATACTAACTTGCATCTAGATCCTATCAGTCATTGCAATTTTAAGACATCTTGTAAGCTTTCAATTTTACTATTTTAAGTGTAAGTTGGATTTTACTTGCCTTGCCCTTTAGCCCGCCGTTTTTTATGATTTTCCACTGCCTTATTTTTTCCCAACCTTTTCCGAGCTCTACCCTTGCTTTATGGAAATTAACTTGTGACTTAAAACCAATTAAAAGTTGGACGCGCTGCAGTTAACACGTCGGCGGTTGGCTACTGACGTCGCCCTTAATGACATGCCGCCAGTGTCAACAGGCCCGCCTCGAGAATTGTTTACGCGCTGCGATAATAATGCTGGGGTGGGACAGTGGAGGGAGTACTGTACTGGCGACCCAGTTGAAGTTGCATCTGGAGTTCCATTGTTTCAGCATTTTATTTGTGCTGCCCGCTGCCGTTTCTTTTCTTTGCCGCATTTATTTATCCTTTATGCCGGGCAATGGCCGAAAGTGGTTTATTTGTTGCGCCGCATTCATTGGCAACACAAATGGGCGGCTCGCCAGCCCAGGGGGGCGTGGCAGTGTGCCACTGCGGCTATATGCATTTTGTTTTCGATGCGTGCGGAGCAGATAAACTGCGACAATTTGCCCGGTGAATGAGTGGAACTTTTTCACTTCGTTGTCGCAAAAAACAAAAAACACACGGGGAGGGGGGCACAAAAACAAAACTTTCCCACTGGAGTGTGCCAGTGGGGACATTGCAATTTAAAATATAATTAATGGTCGTTGCAGTAATTTATTGAATTTGCATGGCACAAGGCTGCATGGCTGTCATTTCTTGTTTGCCGTTTGCCAGTTGGAGGTCCTTGTTTTGCGAATATCCTTGCGAGGCGACCGGAGTGTCCGCACATGCACACGCACATGCACTTGCACTCACTTTTGTTTTAATGCACTCCGCACGGTCGGTCCTGGTCGATCCTTTCTCGGCATTGTTGCTGCCTGGCCGGCCGGTGGTGCAACAATAACATCCCGATAATGACTGCCGAAAGTCCATTTGGGGCTGCAAAAATAATGCCCGCTTGCCACTTGGACGCAAACGTTGGTGAGCGAAGAGTCTTGCCAAAAAAATCGTACCAAAAAGTGTAAAAGAAGTGAAATGGCCAAAACGGTGCTGCATTTTCAGAGAGAAAATTATTTAAAATGCACATTTATGCATAAAATAACTGGCTTAAAATAAACAATATATAGTTCATCACAATAGCATATGTCACTCACAGAAAATATAATAAAGACCAAACTTATGTTAATAAACTAAATTTTAAAACATGACTAACACCCTTTTTAGGCACAAAAAGTTGGTAGCTCTAAAAATCATAAAAAGTTTTCCCTTTAATTACGAGTGGTTCGCGTTCCTGGCTCCTCTGACAACTTTTTGTTACCACCGAAAAATGAACAAAAAATTACCAATTTTGAGCGGAGTAAAAGGGACCATTTCGGCACCAGCCACCAAATGTGGCCACGCTGGAATGCCGGGCCTATTGTTTGGCCGCCATGGCGGATGAATTAATGGAAGATGGGACTTGGACTCGGGACGCGATGGGTTGGGTTGGGATTGCATGGCGAGAAGGCGAGAATGAGGGCAACAGACAAACAATCTTCCGCGCTTTTCCCCTTTTTCTCGCTTCATTTTCCCAGCTATCTCTGGCCAGCACTTTTGCTCGTTTTGGCCTGGCCCAAAAGCAACTCATTCTCGCTTCCTGCACTTTGCATGCCCCGCACTATTTGCAACTTGAAGAAAACGCCAGCGAATGCTCCATAATGGCCACCGCCTCCCCCGTCGACCATTTCCTTCACTATATAACTACTGCCATATAGAAGGAGTAACTCCCGGCGTTCCGTGTCATGTGCGTTACTTAAAGCATACAAAATGGCGTGGAGTTGGCCTTTTTAAGTGAGAGAGGCGCCATTGCATACCCGTGGGCTCACCAGGGGGAAAAGAGAGCCACCGAGGCACCCGAAAAATTTACATACAAATTAGGGTTAATGAGCAGTGAAATTGTTATTTAACTTCAGTTGGCCCGTTAAGCGCTTTAAAGTGCCGGCACCACTTGTGCCAAAAGTGTGTTCGAATATCTGCGCATCTACGTACTTTTCGAAATTCTCTTTAGAACCGGGCTTAAATGGGTGTCCTTTTAGCACTTTATCGCTTTGCCGCAGAACAAGAGAATTTAATTAATAATCTTGCGCATAATTCATAAATTGATTATTGCGCATACGCCACGTGTTCTTAAATTAATTTTCATTCATAACCTTATATATAGCCATTTGTACACTTTTTACTGCCCCGCTGATGCAGCGCACACGCAGAGTGCGAGTTTTATTTAAAATTTAATCAAACACTTTAATTTGATTAACAGCGCACGTCTTTCAATATAAATTTATGGCCGCACGACGCATAATCAGTGACCAGAACCGGAGCCGGAATGCCGGACTGCCATAGAGCCGGAGTGCCGTAGAGCCGGAGTGCTCCAGTGACCAGCCGTAAAAAAGGGTTGACCACCGCCCGCACATCCGTTCCTCCCCCCGCACCCGCCCCATCCCGATCTCAACTGCGTCTTTCCCGGGCTTTCAACACATCAACGCCGCCATTTGATATGCGCCCATCTGACGGGGGCGGATGGAAAGTGGGGGCGGGGCTGCCGAGTGGGGTCGGGAGACTAATAGCAGCACGTACGTTTGATGAAATATTTTATTGGCATGTATGGGTGGCGTCCTGGCGGGCCCAGCGACTTTATAGATTTCTCCAATGCGCTGATGGAGGGCTTGACTTCTGCTTAAAACTCGCCCCTCACTTTGAAGGGATAAACCTAAAAATATATAAGATTTTCGGTTCAACTTATTGCTGAATGTATGAAATATTTGCTCAATGTAGAAAGCCTGGCTCCATCAATGTGAAGTACCTTTGAGTAAAAGTTCTAACACCCGACCAACAAACTTCTTATCTTTTATTGATTGTTTTCGCCATGCACTTGCCATAAAATTAGTGCAACGTCCGAACGGCAATTTGGCAGCACAAATCATTTTAGCATAATATACAACTCCGGCTGTGGAGCAGCCCAACCGAACGAGGATGGCATTTTTATTGGCCTACGTGTCTTTTGTGCCATGGCAGTTGCCACAGCAGAACACAACGCACTATCTCGTCATGCGAATCTGGAATAAATCTTTCATTTCATTTCTGTTGCACGGAAGTCACGGCCACCGGTCAGCAAGTTTTTCGTATTTCGTATTTCGCTTCTCGTTTTGCGTTTTTCGCCGCTCGCCTGCAAAATGCCATGGCGATATGAATGCCAAACAATCCGAGAACGCTGTCATCTTTGAGCGGATACTCGATTTTCGCTGGCGCATTCCAGCGATTCGTTTGGCATAACTTCACAATTAGTTTCGAGTCGTGGATGGGGCGTAATTTATGCTCATTCGGGGGAATCCCGCGTTCAATGAACCTGTCCACATCAACGCACGACCCACTAAATTGAATTCTTTGTTTTGGCAGCGGCAGCAGCCAGAAGCTACAAACGCCATGGCTGGAATGGCAAGAAATGAAAAAAATAAGTGGGGAAAAAAAGCAGAGCAAAAGTTTTTAGCAAACGGCAATTTTCTGTTATTTCATTTGTTTGCCTGCTTATATTGCCCAAAGTAGTTGCTGTTGTTGTTGTTGTTGCCAGGACGCCCGTTTGGAATTTTAAATATGGCGTCTGTTTTGTTTGAAAACGGAAACGAGTGTCTGTCAGTTTATTTGCTTGTTGTTGCCGTCGCAGCCCCAAAAACGAAGTCAACCAACTTTGGCAAAGGAAATGCCGCCTAATGTGTTAGTTTGTGAGCCAGCATGTGTATTATGGCTCGCTGTGTTTGTCCAACTTTGCTGGCAATTGAGAGGCCGTTGCCAACGTCTCTGCTGAATGGTACATATGTGCATACAAATCTGCAGATATACCATTTACCAACGATAAGAAATGATTTTATAGGGCTTAAGCAAACCTGGAGTTCACGCACAAAGAAAACAAAGTGGCCTGACCCTTGGATGTCTGCAAAGTCTGGCTGAAAGCATTTAACGGCATAGGACTGAAAATCAGGATGAATGATTTTGTATGTTGTGAAAGCATACTTTCGCCCCTTCTACAGAGTTAAGTAGCAAACATCTCTGGAAATGTTGCCTCAAATTTCAAGCACACAAGTGCTCACACACACACACACACACACACACGCACGCACGCGCACACATACAAATGACAGAAGTTTCCTTTGAGCTAATAAAGTCGACTTTACATTTTTAATAGTCTACTTTTCGGCGCATTAGTTTTAATGCTTATGACGATGCTGTTTCGCATGCAAAGTGCACGGTTTGCTGCTGAAGTTATCCCTTTGGGCTTAACTCTTGGCCTGCTTTCTGGGCCCATTAGAGCCGGCTTCCTGGTCCCATCACTGTGCCCCATCGGCACCTGACTTGGTTGCCAAAACAAGATTTCTCACTCATTATGCGGGCCGCAATAAATATTTGCCTATCATTTTGCTATTTGCATTTGCCAGCGAAATTGATGAACGTCCGCGGCACACGAGCAAATTGAATTGGCCGAGCCATTAACAAAACTGAATTTTGCTTATCTCCATTTGCAATGGCCTTTTCCCACAGGCCCTCGAAAAATGACACGCACACAGGCACACCCATGTGCCACATTTGATATTTATGCAGATTTTGCCGCTTCTGTTGCTGCTGCCTAGTAATGAGTAGCAGATAAACATGGCGATAAATTACTGCATTTTTGGGCATTCATTATTTACCATGTGCCATACGCGCAGTGTTGGCCAAAAATCGAATACGCCGTAAATGGTATACGAGCATCTACATATGCACGCACTTAAATCGGGTTCGTCCTTGCGGCTGTCATGGGGCTGGTTTATGGCCGCATTTGCTGGCCATTTCTAGAATTACAACAAATTTTAATTAAATACAATCTGCAGCAAGCAATGCGCATATGTAAATGCAAATGGCTCGAATGCTTGCGGGCGAAACAGGCAAACCAAAAAAAAATATACAAAAATAAGCAAATTTAATGCATAAAATAAGAGCGCACAATAAAAAGACGTCAAAGTATTTAGCGCACAATGCAGCAGAATGCGACCAAAGCGCCGGGAAAAAAACAAAAAAATTAAACGACATGGCCAGACCATTAAGCGGCACTTGCCTCCTTTTCCCCGCCCACTTGCCACCCACTTGCCACCCACTTTTCCAGCCTCCAATGCTCCGCAGCAATTTAATAATTCTCCCTGACAATGCACTTGCTCATTTGCCATTTGCTGTGCATTCGAATTTGTTTCTTGCAAAAGCAAAAATTGTAAAACAAGTGGGAAAAACGCATTTGACAACCTACAAACAGCGCATCCAAAAAACTGCAGCTGGAAATCATACAAATTGCGCATGTAGGGTATGAAAAAAATTAAGTTTCGGATTGCTTGTTGCTGATGCCTGCCCGCTGGCTGAAAGTTGTTGCCGGTTGCCGTGACAGATGGGTGGACATTTTGTCAGCGAACGACAAAAACTGGGCAAAAAATGCGCAAAAGATGGGGGATCTAGATCAAAACGATCCCGGAATACCCTGCTTTTGGCCCTCATTTTGCTGCCAAAATCCAGCCAAATCGAATAATT